CACTGTGGGCCTCAGAGCACAGTAGTACAGAGCAGAGTCTGATACAGCAGCAGAGGAGATCTTCAGATCCACATGGATTTGTTCCCTTTTTTCAGCTTTAACAGAGAATCTTGGATCTACATCAGACACTGCAGCTTCCTTTGCACTACCGTAGGTGAGTACAAGAAATTCAGGTTTTGATCTTTCATACTGACGGTACCAGTAGATATTATCTGAAGCTACAGGTGATTGACTACAGGACAATGTAATATCTGAACCCTCTTCATAAACAACATCAGTTTTGTTTGTTTTGATGACATTTCCAAAGACAGCTGCTGAAAAAGAAAACAGTTATGAAATGTGAAATGTTTTAAATAAAACAGAAAAAAATATATAATTAACCAAATAAATACCTGCTGATGCAGAAAAACTATCTTTGAGCAGGCACGTGCACACATAGACATAAAAGAGGGCTTGAGCACCTGCCCTTTTTCTTCCTCGAGAGAAAGTGCCCTTTTTTCTGGGGAATTTTTTATTATTATTTATTTTATTTTATTTGTTTTTAAATAATATATGTATATATGTGTTCGTGTTTCTGTTTGCGCACAGCTTTCCTTGTCAAACAAATAAAAAATCAAAATATCAGGTCGGGTCGAGCAAAAGGTTGAGACTCTGTGGGGTTCCGATGCTTTTCTCCCTCCGCGTCTCCACGCAGCACAGCAGTGTAGCACACATTGATCATCACATCACAGTCACAGACAGACAGAGAGCCACAGAAGTGAAGCCCCCCTCCCTTTCCAGTTGTGTTTGTCTTGGTGTGGAGGTGAGTGGTGATGAACAACAGACTAAGCTACCTGTGCCTCCAATTTACAGCTAATTATCCAAAAGGCAAATATAGTTAATTTGTCTTGCTAACATCCATGACTCATGAGAGCTACCATGCAAGTTAGCTAAAGTTTAGCTAAGGCAATAGGAAGTCTAGTAGGTTAGACCAGTGCGTGTTCTTTCACTGCATGATTCAGTTTATTAAAATGCATTTAGAATGATCACAA